TGTGCACTGGTCTGTCTTTCCTTGCTTTGGTTTTCCCTGAGCCCACTGGAATCCACCAGAACGTGAGTTGTCTTGTCTGTTGTGACCCATTCCATCCGCCTGTGGAACTGCAGCTCCCCAGGCCCCCTTGTGTGGTCCGTGTTACTGAGGCCATGACCCACCTGAGAACCTGCTTCTTCTCCAAGGGCTGGAGTCCTCTGCTTCTTTAGCTTTCCCCAACCTGACATCCCTCCACGCACTGTGACTCAGTTCCCCACCCTCAGCCTAGAGCAGCATTGAATAGGAGTTGTCAGGGTCTTTTCTATTTCTTTCTCCCTTTATCTCAGCGAGGGTTTTGCTGAGTGAACTGGGTGATAAGAGTGCCAGGTCTGAGCTGCAGCAGCAGCAGCTGCAGAGCCGATGTGCTCCAGCAGCCGGAGGCTGAGCCACTTAACACGGAGATCCCAAGTCCTTGTTCTGAACCCTGGTGGGACCATTGTGCTGGTTGGCAGCATGTGTGTTTGGTTGGCCCATTCCTGGTCACGGGTGGAGTCATGGAACTGCGGGCCGGGAGTGGGCTCAAGCTCCCAGGTTCTTGTGGGCATTTTAGAACGGGAACCACTCTGGCAGTTCTGGGATAGTCAGCTCTGACCCATTGCCAAAGACACACATTTGGTGACCTGTAGGATGAGGCAAACGGATCAAAGTCCACAAGGACCGTCAGTGCAGGAGAAAGCAGAGCCAGGCAAGGAGTGGGCTGCTGCTTGGGGTTACAATGAGCGATTGAAGTAATGATGGGCTGTGCTTCCAAGGCGAGCCAGACAGAATGCAATAGAAAGTTGCAGGGAAGGTGAGGGAGAAGTGTGAAAAAGGGAACTGGGGAGGAGGTGGGGAAGAGAGAGGGGAAAGTCCAGGACAAACAGAAATGTACAGAGCTGCTGCTTCCTTGAAAGCCATGAAGCTTGCAGAGCAAAGGAGGACAAGACCCCAGATCCCTGGCTGGGAAGGCTGGTTGGCATTTAGGGGACTGGGTCTTTGTTGTTGAGCCCAGGCTACCTGGAACATGGCCTCAGAAGCGCAGAATGTGTTCTCATCACTTACTTTGTGTTTCCAAACAGAAGAGAAGCGAGGGAGGTGCCACCTGGATCCAGCTGAAGCATTTCCAGGAAGCTTCTCTCTGGATGCCACGTCGAGGCTGCCCTGCCGTAGCACAGAGCTGGTGATTGCCGAGTGTGTGGACATGGCTTTGCTCAGCAACATCCTGGCGGCCTATTCCTTCGTCTCAGGTAGTTGTCCAGTCTCGGCTGGGCCAGGGTTGAGGGCTGAGGGTATCTTCTGAGTGGCTATCAATGGCCTTATACTCCGAAGAGAAATGTTACACAAAGTGGAGGGATCCTGCTGTGAATTTTGAGATGAAAGATCTTCTGGTTTGACAGTTAAGCTTGGTATTCTCTAATTCGGCAGATGATTTCGGGGGGGTGGGCTCTCAAAGTTTTATCTTGCTAAAAATATTTGGTTTCCTTGGGGCTCAAGTGAGTGAGTAAAGTAGCCTGAGGCTATTATTACTTGTCATTGTGCACTTGACTCCAGGTGAGAGAGGCTCATGGAGTATCCTCAGCCTGCTTATTTCTGTGCCGTGGTTCTCAGCCCCACCCAGGCGTGTGTGTGTGAGTGTGTTTGTGTGGGGGGCATGTGTTTGTGGGGCTGTATGAGGTATCTGATAATCTCCTGGGAGACGTGAAGACATGAAGCATGTAAGTCTGAGAGAGTCTGTTACTCGCCCCTTCCTTGATTCAGAGTTGTACTCTTAAGAATATAGCTCACTGCCTCCTCAAGATGCTTGAGAATAGACGCTGTTCATATAAGAGAAGCCACTTAAAAGTACATGAAAATAGACCTCAATCAAGCTGAAATTTAAAAAAAAATACATGAAAATGCTCAATGGTTTGAGTGACCAGACGAATTTTCTGCTGCTTGAGTGAATTTTATTTTTTGATAGTTTGCTTTGGCTTTGTTTTGTTTTGCCTCTTGTCTCAGGATGTTGTACAAAAAGGAAGGGGCTGAGGCCCTGATTCGAATTCCTCTAATCAGAGAGCCAATTTTGCTTTCTGCTTCTCTAGCCAGGGTTTATGTGTGGTGACCTCAGAGTTCAGAGGTAAAACCTGACATTTCTATTTACAGTGGCAAATCTGAGCCAGGGTTGAGGCTAGAGGAAGCTCATGGCTTCTCTTTGAGAGAGGATCTTGGATGATATGCAACCTAATTTTAGAAAGGAAGACTTCTCAGGGTGGCAAGATGCAGCCCATGGCCTGCACATGCCTCAAAGCCAGGGTTCTCCCATCCTGGGTCAGTAAAGGCCTGGGTCATCAGTCAGCCCCTCACCTCCCTAAGGAAGTCTGGTGCCTGCGGCCTCCTTCCCCAGGCACCAAACCCCAGAGGAATCTCAGCTTTGCTCTTTCTTCAAGGCTGTACTGGGGAGCAAGGGCACTGGAGTTGGAAAAGAGATATTTGAAACTCTGGTATCATGTTTCATAAGCAATTGAATGATGATCCTCTCAACTCTGTAGTGAAGACAAACCCAAAATGAAGTGGGTGGTGGCAGGGAGGGCCTGGAGGTTCCAAGGCCTCAAAGGCACTTGCACATCAGCTGTTGCAAGAAAGTATCTCGGGTGAGAACATACAGGCTACTGGACTTCGGAGTTGGCACAGGAGGTTCCTGGCAGTTTTCCATTTCAGCCAGCATGACCCTGAGTTGTGACCATTGAATGTGGTAACTCATTGAATGGTCTGGTGTTTACTGTGGGTCTTGTGATCTTGCTAGAGCCGAAGGAGTACATGGCCCTGTTTTTCTCTCCCCTCCAGCCTTCCTCCTTCCAACCGCATATTCTGGAATTAAATATTGATTGAGAGACAGGAAGACAATGCTTCTTTTAAGTAAATATGGGCTGAAATAAAAAGAGAATGCAAGGAAATGGAAAGTAAAGTGGCCAAAATAAAATGTGTTCGATCTAGGAAATAGACTTGATGGCTGAAAATTAATTCTGAGTGTGATGGGGGAACAATCCTTGGAAAGAAAATGAATTAAGAAAATTTAAAATATGAAGGTGAATATAACAGATACAAAAATAATTGTTTTAAAAGAAGAAAACAGAACAAATGGATAGGAGGCAATAATGAAAAGTATGTTAGAAGAAAATTGTAAAACATGTCCTAATCTTGTAGCTCTCTCATGTTCTCATTCACAGGGGCCCCTGATCCCTTCTAATTTCTTCCAGAGCATCACTTGACTCTTATTTTGTCCATGTGGTCCATCATTTCAGCAACATATTTGCTGATGCACACAACTCCCTTATTCTTTGTCCAGCTTCTGATTAAAACAACAGGCAAAACACTAACTCTAAGCAAACCCTACTTTCTCCCCTTTCTCCCTCTGCGCTGAAGTAACCAAATCTGCTACAACTTTGCAGATGGAAGCCATTGGAAATCCATGGTATCAAACCTCAGCTGGGACTGAAGCACTATCTTGTTCCCATGCATCACAAAGCCATTTCAAACCCTGGAAGTTCTAGTAATTTAAATACCTATTTATCAAAATGTAACCTACGATTAAATGGCAAATGCAAACAAAGAGAAAAAAAATGCAGCATTAATGAAGAAGGGCTCAAGTTTATAATATATAGAGTTTTTACAAATTCATAAAAGATCGGTGTCTCAAAGAATAGTAGCAAAGAACAAGAATCAGCAGTTTGCCAAAGAAACAATGCAAATTGCTGATAAAACACACACAGCTTGAGTTCTAGCAATTGAACAAATACAAAATAAAAGCAATGAGTTCATATTTTTATTTTATAAAATTCTCAAAGATGTGAGTGATTATGTATATAATTTCAATTTTGGAGACTGTGTGGGGAAGTGAGTACTCACAGTGTTATGGAATTGTAAATTGCTACAACCTCTCTAGAGAATGATTTGGGAACATCTGTCAAAAGCCTTAGAAACTTGGGTGTCATTTAGCCAGCAGTTCCACATCTAGGAATTTATCCTAAGGACCTAACTAGGGACATGGGCAAACATTTTACTATGAGAACAATTGATCTCAGAACTGTTTAGAATAGTAAAAAATCAGAAAAATGGGTGAATATTAATTGAAGCAGAAAGATGTGCTGTTGCGTGAATAAAGCCTGTTACTATATAGTATACACAATATAATCCCATTTATATTTGTATATTCACATGTATATGTAACCACATTTTACTGCAAATTATATCTGGATGTTGGGATTTTATGAGTGCATTTGTGCATTTTTAATTTTCTTTTGCTTAGCTGTATGCCTAAGTATTCTATACTTCATCGATATCACTTTTGTAATAAATAATGTTATTTTATTGGAATTTAAGATTTAGAATTATATCATACATATATTTTAAAAATTACTACTCCCTTATTCTTTTCTGACTTCTAGACCTAAGTATCTAAATGCCCTGAACATTACCACTTGGGTGTGCCATAAGCATTTCAAATTCAACCTGGCCTGCAATGGAATATTGTCCTTCTTTTTAAATTGTTCTTTCTTTGGTGTACCATCTAGGGCATCAGTTTTACCAGAAATACGATTTCTAGTCTTTGGTATACCTTATTCACTGCCCATATACAATTGGTTAGGGTTGATCTATTTTGCCTCTCAATGTTTCTCATATGGTCCCCTCCATTTTATTCCCACCATCATTGAATTGATCCAAGCCCCACTGAGTTTTTGCTTATCTTATCATAATGATATTTTCCATGGTCTGCCTGCCTTCAGTCTTGCTTCATAGACTGTGTTTTATAGCAAAATGATCTTTCTGAACTGTAGCTGTGATGATGATGTAATTCTCTTTATTTTTTAGAATACTTTAGAATACTTATTATCTCTGGGATGAAGTTCAAGCACTTTTGTATGTTTTAATAATTAGGATTGTTTTAAGCTGCAGATAATAGAAAATCTCAACTTGGTGGCCTAAACATGTAAGAGTTATCTTACCTTCATAAGAAGTTTGGAGGTAGGTGGTCCATTGGCTCAAAGATGTAGGGACCAGCATCTCTGTGATTTTCATGTTCTTTCTATTATGGCTGCACAGTGGCTGCTGTCACTCTTGCCCTCATTCAAGATGGTTAAGAAAAGGAAGGATGTTCCAGTAGATCTCTTCTCATATTTCATTGGCCAAAACTTTGTTACATGACCATTTAGCTGAAAAAAAAAAATGACAAAGCTTTTTCAACTTTTAGACCAGTGACTCATAACCAGGTGTGATTTTGCCCTACAGGGGATTTCAGGAAATGTCTGGAAACACTTTTGGTTGTCACAAACGGGGTGGGGTGGGGCTACTATTAGCATCTATCAGTGGAGGAACGTCCTATGATGCACAAGACAACCCCCACAGCAAAGAATTAACTGGTCCAAGAGGTCAATAGTGCTGAGGTTGAGAAGACATGCTCCAGAGGCAAGTAAGGGAGAAGGGATTTGGGGATAGTGTAAGTTCTCCAACCTGCAGTTTCTTATGTGGCTTACCAGGGCTTTTAGTGCCTGAACTTGACTTCTCTGTACTGTCATTTAGTTGTAGACCTCCCTGACCAACACCTCACTCCAATTATTCTAAACCACTTGCTAGGCCTTTTCTGACCTCTTTGCCTTTGGCAGTCATCTCCTTTCCCAAGAATTCTTCCCTTCAGTCCTCGACTGGCTAGCTCCCTCGCAGTCTTCAGGGTCTGCTATTTACTCTCTTTGCTCCCCGACCCTGGCTTAGGTGCTCATCCGTGTGCTCCTCACACATGTTTTGTTTCCCTTGATCTCAGCACTTGGATTGGAGGAGTTAACATTTCTTGTTTCAACTCTGTGCAGCCAACCCCTTGGGATCATAATATAATAATTTATGATGAGGATAATAATCTCATTAATAGTAATAGCCTCATGAATAACTTCTAATAGGGTTAGAAAGATTAAATGGAATGATTGCTCTTTAATTTAATGTTTTGAATTGATAATACATTCTCCTGCTCACTCTTCCATTTCCTTTAGTTTCTTCCTTAAAGTCACCTTCTCAGTTAAATTCCCTCTGGTCACTCCACCTGCCTGCTCCCCTCCAGCACACATCTGACACTTCCTACCCTCCTTCCTATTTTTACTGTTTTCTTCTCCTTATCACCTTATTACCGTCTAACATACAACTATTTTATTTGTTTATTTTATTTAATATCTCTCTGAATAGACTACAGGCTCCCAGGAACACTGGTGTTTTTGTTTCTTTCCTCAGCCTCTAGAATAGTGTCTGGCACCTATTAGATGCTCAACAAATCAGTGAATCAACATGGCTCCATGATCAAACAATATAAAAAGATACATAGTGAGAAGTTTTAACTGCCCCTCCATCCAGTCCCCAAGTTTGACCTATCATCAGGCTTCTCTGCATCCTTCCAGGGTCCTTTGTGCACAGGTAAGGAAATATGAACATACAGTCTCATTCTCTCCCCTTTTATACACAGGTAGCATTTCATACATACTGTTTTGTACTTTGCCTTTTTCAGCGAGCAACCAACGTATCATAAAGATGTGTTATAGCAGTGTATAGAGAGCTTCCTTATTCTTTTAGACAACTATATCCTGTTCTTATGTACAGATGAACCATAATTTAACCAGTCCCCTGCTGATGGCCGGTGAGAGTGATTCAAATCTTTTCAAATGGGCAACAGAGGTGCAATAAATAAAACAAACCATGGCATATACACATGTTCAAGTGTATTTGTAGAATAAGTTCCCCAAAGTGGAATTGTTGGATCAAAGTATGTATAAATTAGTAATTAAGTTAAATATTATCAAAGCGCCACTTACGAAGGAATTTTACCAATTTACTCTTTTTAAGATGCATAAGAAGGTCCTGCAACAGTATCTCCCAACTGTTGGGTTTTTGACAATCTGATAAATGAAAAATATACATAAATATCATTTAATTTCTGTTTCTCTCGGTCATAGGTCAGGAAACCTTTTCTGTAAAAGGTCATATAAACAGAGAACAGTCTCTCTGTTCTAACTGTTCAACTCCTGTGTTGATAATATGAAAGCAGACATAGATAAAACATAGATGAAGCGGCTGGCTGTGTGCCAATAATAAAACAGATGGTGGTCAGGTTTGGCTTATGAGCCATAGTGTGCCAATTCCTGCTCTAGGTGAGCATCCTTGCATATATTGAAGGGCCATTTGTATTTCTTTTTCTGTGAACTGTTTGTATCTTTTGTCCATTTTCTTTCTTGGTTGGTCTTTTTTCTTAATGCTCTTTCTAGAATGCTCTTTATGCACTAGCTCTTTGTCTCTTACATATTTCAAACATTTTTCATAATTTTGGCATTTGTCTTTTAACTTTGTTTACAATAATTTTTTTCAATGCAGAAGTTTTGGGGATCATTTTTTCATTTAACTAATATTCTTTGAATATGTAATTATAAGTACAGTGGTGTGGACTATGTGTAGTTCGCTAGAATTTGAATCATTTTTCCTATGAGACTGGCTTGAGAAAGATTGTCTCTTAACAGTGAGGGGACCTAACCCACCATAACTCAATTAATAGTCACAAATTTGGAGCTTGGAGAAAGTACCATAGTTTCTGTTCTGTGTAATCCCTCTTCTGGAAATCCTGTGGGAGTTGAGAACCTTTGTGTCTTTAGCCCAGAAGGCACTGTAAACTAACAGTAAATTTTTGTGGAATAAAGTAACCTTTTATTGACCTATAATATTTGAACAAATTTTAACAATTGGAATATACTCTCCTGGAGAAGGCTTGGTAAAAGTAGTACTTTCATTCACAGCCAATGGCAAGATAATTTAATGTACTACTTTTGAAAAGCCACTTGGTGATATGTATCAAGAGGTATAAAAATATGTATCCCTTCTAACACAAAGATTTCTTTTGTGAGGGGGTGCCTAGGTGGCTCAGTCGGTTAAGCATCTGACTTTGGCTCAGGTCATGGTCTTGGGGTTCGTGAGTTCAAGCCCTGCACTGGGCTCCGTGCTGACAGCTCAGAGCCTGGAGCCACTTCAGAATCTGTGTCTCCCTCTCTCTATGTCCCTCCCTCGCTCATATTCTGTCTCTGTCTCTCTCTCTCTCTCTCAAAAGTAAATAAACATTAAAAAAAAGCGTACTTTAAAAAGAATGATTCCTTTTCTGAGAATGCATTCTAAGGCAACACATGAAACAAACAAGCAGAAAAGGAAGTAGTGTTACACACAGAAGTACTCTGACTATACATTTGTCCAAACTCACAGAATGTACAACACCTAGAGCCCGAATGTAAACTATGGACCTTGTGCGATTATGATGTGTCAGTGTTGGTTCATCAACTGTAACAAAGGTACCACTCTGGTAGGGGATGTTAATAATGGGAGAGGCTATGGGTGTGTGGGGGTGGGGAGTATGTGGGAAATCTCTGTCTTTTCTTCTTAATTTTGTTGTGAACCTAAAACTGCTGTAAAAAGTCTTAAAAGCAAACAAACAAAAAAACCCATGCAGATAAAAATATATAAACTATATAAATATAATGCAGTAAATATAAATAAATATGTACATATTCTTATGACAGGAAAAAAGAACAGAAGAACATTCACTACACTACACAGTATGTAGTTATATTCAGGTTGTGAGCTTATGGTTGTTTTACAAATTTTTGTCATTCCGTACTCTTTTAATGCTATATACACACATACATGTACATTTATATGTATGCACACATATATACACCTACATACATCTATATACATGTTAATCAGCATACAATAAGTTTATTAACTGGACTTTTAGAAACTGTGTATTCATGATTTAATTCAATATTTGTGAGATACACATAATGAGCAAGGCAATATGCTAGATGCTCTAGAAATTCAAAGTGAATCATGTGGATTCTGCCCTCAATTTTCTCTGTTATATGGGAAAAATAGTAGTTATATAACTAATTGTAATACAACTACATAAAGTGCTGCCTAGATTGGAGGGGCTAATTAATCACACTCTTCCTTCCAGACTCAAGAAGCCAGAAACGCATCAGAATAGGGTACTGACTATAGCAGTGGTTAAGCCACAACAGAGAATGTTCTGGGCCTTCTACCTAGCTCCCCTTAGTCCTGGGGTGATACGATGGCAGGTCTTCCCTGCTGCAGGTGAAGAAAGGTGAGCAGGGTGGATTAGGATGATGGGTAAGGAAACAGAAGGCCTCTTTCGGGGAGTGCTTATGGCCTGGATGGCCTCAAAAAGGTGAGGATGGCCTCAAAAGAGGTGAAAGCAAGGGAGTATACTCCAGAGCCAGCCTAGTGGGGCAGGGATTCTCCAATATTCCCTCTTCCTGAGGAAGAACAAGTCAGGGATGGAAGAAGGAGGGAAGCTTTCTCCAGCATTTCAGAAAGGGCAGAAGTGTTAGTAGGAGTCTTCGCTTCTTTATGGTGAGGGACAGAATCTCATAAAGAGGAATCCTTGCAATGCCTGAAGAGTTCAGAGAAAAAATGATGCTAAATACTCCCTGATACTACAAAAGCCCTGTTAGTCTCTTTAAAACCTATTTGTAAAACTTTTTTTCTTTCCAGTCAAGGGATTGCAAGCTTTGAGGCCAACAAGAAAAGTCTAGGCAGGAGAACCAATTACACTTGCACGGAGACCAGCTGATCTGGCCTGGGCTGCTTCTGCTCTTTTGCAGAGTTTGCTGGGCATGGTCTGACCTCTGAAGGTGCAAATGAAATTAGTCCCAGGACCTCCACATAGAGCCTTTTCCTGCTCATGAAAACAATGACCCTGCAGGAAGCAAGATACAGCAATACATTTATTTTTATTTACTGAGGGAAAACAACCGGCAATAGCCCTCCCCACTCTACTTCCTGGGCAATTAACAGCTGTCTGGATCTGGCCAAGACCAGGGTGGATCATTGGCCAAGAGGAAGTGACCTGGAGCAGAGATGAGAAAAAACAACCACGATAGAGCTACAGTTTCGATTTTTGCAGAAGCATGATGAAGAAAACCAAAACAAGTTGTATCAGCTGTGAAAATCAACCCTGAGTCACCTCCTCAGGATCCAGTGAAGCCCAGTAAACTCCCTTGCTCTCTCTCATTGCTTTTGCTGGGCTTCTCTAGGAATCCTTGTCTGAGACTGCTGTAGGCAAAAAAGTATGTTTTCTGGTTGGAGTAGCAGGACAGGATGGACTAGTTAAGCTGGGGAGAGGGGAGAATAGTGGTTCCCAAGATAAAGTTCAATAACCATCTTCCAAGTTAACCTGTGTAATGGGAGGCTGTGAGGGCAGGGTGTGAAAAACATGGAGAAATACATTCACAGGGAAGAAAGGGTGGGATGAGAAAAGGAAGGAAGGTAAGGGAGAAAGGGAAAGAGGGAGGAAAACAGATAGATTAGATGGATGGAGGGATGGATGGGAGGGAGGGAGAGAACTCAGAAGGAAGGAAGAGAGGGAGAGAGGGAGAAAGAAAATAAATAGAGTGGGTTATTATTTATTGAATGCCTATCTTTGTCAAGATCATGGATAATCCCTTTATGCTGGTCATCTGTAATACCTTTAACCCTTACCACAATTCAGTGGGGTAGGTAAGTGGTGTTTAAGAAATGACTTAGATGAGGCTTCAAACTGAGGCAGTTCTGCCCAATGGTTTTCCATCTTGGTAAAAGCATGGATTTGGGTATCTTTTCTAGAAAGCCTCCTCAGAGCCCCATATCTGAACTTTAGCTTTTCCACTTACCTTTATGTTTCCAGAGATCCCTCTTTATGCTTCGTAATAGCTCTTCCCTTTGGTCCTGGAATGATTGGGTCTACTTCCCTGCTGGTCTGCTCCTTAAGGCAAGAGCTGCCTCAGTTCTCTCAGTTTCTGCTGGATATCAACCAGACAGAACTCAGTTTCATCCCCCTTCACTGAACATGTATTTATTTATATCAAGCAATTAATTCTTATTAGATATAATTGACATAACATTGTATAGATTTAAGGTGACAAGGTGTTGACTTGGCATATTCATATATTGCAGTGTGATTACCATCATAACATTAGCTACCATGTGTCTCACGTCCCCTAATTATTATCTCTTCTTTTTGTGTGGTGAGAACAATTAAGTTCTCTTAGCAACTTTGAAGCCTGTAATACAATATTGTTTTCTGTAATTCACTATGCTGTGCATTAAATCCCCAGGACTTATTCGTCTAGTGGTTACAAATTTATAGCCTTAAACAACACAGCTACGATTCTCTCATTCTCTAGCCCTTGTTCCATCACTATACCCTCTGTTTCTGTGAGGAGGGCCTCTGTAGATTCCATATATTAATGATAACATACAGTATTTGTCTTACTTTGTCTGACTTATCTCAATTAGCAATAATGTACTTATGGTCACAACACGTTTTCTTTATCCATTCATCTGTTGATGGACACTTAGATTGTTTCCACGTCTTGGCTATTATGAATAATGCTGCTGCAAACATGGGAATGCAGACATCTCTTAAAGATAGTGATTTCACTTCCTTCTGTTTCCCTGTTCATTTCAATCGATGTAGAAAATGCATTGGCAAAATACAACATCTTTCATGATAAAATCCTCAACAAATTGGGTATAAAAGGAACATAATTAAATATGATAAAGGCCATATATGACAAACCCAAAGCTAACATCATGGTCACTAGTAAAATATTGAAAGCTTCTCAACTGCATACAAAAGATCCACCATTTTATTCTTTATAGTTCTGATGTCACCATTTACCTCTTTTTACATTGTGTGTCCATTAATAGATTGTAATAGTTATAGTTATTTTTAATACTATTTTCCTTTAACCTTATACTATCATTTAGTGGCTAATACGTGATTCTGTTACAGAATTAGAGTTTTTAAAATCAGACTGCATATTTACCTTTACCAGTGTGTGGTATACTTTCAATTGTTCTCATGTCACTAATTAGCATTTTTTCACTTCAACTTGATGAACTCCTTTCAGCATTTCTTGTAAGGTAGGATAGCCTCAGCTTTAGTTTCTATAAGAAAGTCTTTATTTCTCCTTCATATCTGAAGGATAACTTTGCCATATAGAGTATTCTTGGCTGGCAATTTTTTCTTTCAACACTTTAAGTATGTCATTCTACTCTCCCCTGGCCTGTGGAGTTTCTGCTGAGAAATCCACTGATAGCCTAATGGGTGTTCCTTTATAAGTTACACTCTTTTTTACTCTAGATGTGCTTAAGATTCTTTTTCTTAATTTCATTATAATGTGTCTTGCAGGTGTTTTTGCTTTAAGATAATAGGGTGATCTAATAGCTTCATGAACTTGGATGCCAAAGCCTCTTCTCGGTTTTTGGAAGTTCTCAGCTATTTTTTTTTTAAATTTATACAGAGAGAGAGAGAGCACACATGAGCAGGGGGGAGGGACAGAGAGAGAGAGAGAGGGAAAGAGAGAGGAACTACCAAGCAGACTGCATGCTCGGCATGGAGCCTAATGTGGGGCTTGGTCCCATGACCCTGGGATCATGAGGTGAGCCAAACTTGAATTGGACACCCAACCGACTGAGCCACCCAGGCAGCCCTCAGCTATTATTTTAAAAATAATCTTTCTGGCCTCTTCCTCCTCTCTTCTCCTTCTGGAACTCTGATTATGCTAATATTTGTACATCTGACTGAATGGTCAGGTCACATAGGCTTTCTTCACTCTGTCATTTTTTTTCCCTCTGTTTGCCTTTGGTTGGGTTATTTGAAAACAACTGCTTCTAGGTCACTTATTTTTGTCTTCCATTTGATCTAGTCTGCTGCAGATTCTCTCTATTGCATTTTTCATTTCAATCACTGAATTCTTCAGCTCCAGAATTTTGTCTGGTTCTTTTTTAAGGTTTCTATCTCATTGCTAAATTTTTCATTTTGTTCATGTATTTTTCCCTGATTTCATCGAATTTTCATCTGTGTTTCTTTATAGCTCGTTGTTATTTTGAATTCTTTACCTGCTAGATCATAAGATTTCATGTCTTTTAAATCTTTATTGAAGGATTATTATCTTTTGGTGGTGGTAAGTTTCTTGATTCTTCATGTTCCTTATAGCTTTGTGTTGCTGCTTTGTCTTTAAAGTAAAAGACACTTCCTCAAATCTTCACTAGTTGCCTTCAGATGGAGTATTGTTCATTGATCCTGTTTTATCTGGACTTGCATTTATACACCTGCTCCACACTTCTTACTCCCTCTTGTGGCAACATTTTTAAAGCTTTTATGTCTTTTCTGGATCTTCTTACAGCTCACCTGGCTGGCTACTAGAAAACCTCCCTTTTGTTTTCCAGAAGGTGGTGCTACAGCTCAAGTTTGTGGTTTCTCTCTTGCCCACAGATCCTAGTCTATTTTTCTGATAGCACTCTAGTTTACCCAGCTTTCTTTTGCTGCCAATCTTGGAGCCTGAGTAAGGAGCCACCTTAGAGCAAGGGAAAGTGTAGGTTTAGCACTTGGGGCATGAGGGGTGTCTGTCAGCTGGTGGAGAGATCGTTGGCTGAGGTTCTCCCAGTGGATTGTGGGTGGACTTTCTCCAGACATCCTGAGTGCAGTCAGCATGAACCATGTCTCTTTAATGCCCTTTGATAGTCTTATCTGTCTCTTTCCCAATTTCTTCCCTCCCCTCAGTCATGGGGGTCCCACTTTAGACTCTGGATGTTCCTGGAAGGAAATGGGTTTTTCCCTGCTGCATCCAGCGTAGCTGGGGTAACCAGGCACTCACACACAGCTCTCACTTCCCCCCACAGAGTGGTGCCAGCGGATAGTTCAATTCTGTGCTGTCAACTTGGAGGGGAGGGGCAATGCCGGCAAATTTCCTTCAAACCCCTTTATTGTTTGTTTGTTTGTTTGTTTGTTTACTTAAGCGATGTTCTGGAATTGTTTCATCCAAGTCAGCACTTTTCAAAATTTTCCCCAAACACAGCTGGGAAGGATTGGGTTGGGGTTGCTAGTTCCACAGCCCAAACTGAAGTCTGTCTGTGGTCTATTATGGGATGATCAGATGGGCGAGACTCCTCCTGGGTTTCTTGGGCTATGTTGTTGGATCACAAGACTCCCACAGAGACACTTTTGTTTGTGGATTGATGCTTAATTAGCTGTTAAAAACAAGGGGCACAAAAAGTAGGGATATGTTACACTGCTATGATATTGATGTCACTTCCCTTTCACCACATTTACGTTGTTGACTACTCTTGCATCTACTATTAGTGTCCTCTGTTTCCTTCACTCCTCTTCATACCTCTAATTTATATCTGTTTTATTCACATAACTGTCTTTTTGGCAGGAGTTTTGGAGAGAAGGAGGTATCATAAACACATGTGTTCAATATGCTGTGTTTAGACTGATAGAGCCTTTTTTTGGGGTACAATTTAGGATGCATAAAACTTCAAAATGCCTATGCCCTTTGATGCAGTTATTCTATTTCTAGGTAACTAACCTGTAGAAATAATTCTGCATGTGTATAAAGAGATGTGTACAAGAACACAAGCATGTTGACTCTAGCATTGCTCAAAATAGTAAAAAAATTGTAAACCACTTATATTGATAGTATTAAGGAAATGGTTAAATAAACTTTGATATGTCCACGCTACAGAACACGGTGCAGCAGTCAGAAAGAATTCTGTTGACATATCTGGAAAGTTCTCTAAAAAATATTCTTAAATTAAAAAATATATATATGATACCACTTATATTCTTTAAAAATCTACAAAACAATGTGTATTTTGATTCATACTTACAAGTGAATACAGATTATGGAAAACTAATTTGTTGATGGCAATCTTGAGTCATATCACATTGATTATGCCCTGTGACTCAAGGCCAGGCATGCCCCTATGTTCTCATACTTGCCTAGAAAGGGAAGGTTATTCACCCCAAGTCTCTCATCCTGTTGAGCACATCATACAGGGATCATCATTGGGCTCACTAAGCATATTGCACATCAACAGAATGATTATTTTCTTTTCTCACCAAGGAAAAGTTCAAATTTCTCCCCCACAAATTACCTGATGAGGTTATTATAAACTACCTACTCTGGCCTTTCAATCTGTGATTGTATAAGCTATCTATTGCTGCAAAGCAAAATACCTCAAAACTTAAAACAATACACATTTATTATCTTGTCATTTCTGTGGGTCAGGAATCTGAGACTGGCTTAGCTGCAAGGCCAGGGCTGCACCAGGAGGGCATGGTTCACTTCACGTTCACTCGCATGGCCGTCGGCATGATTCAGTTCCTTCCAGGCAGTTAGCCAGAGGCTACACTTAGTTCCTGCCATGTGGGCCGCTCTATAGAGCAGCTCACAACATGGCAGCTGGCTCCATCAGAACAAGTCAGTGAGCAAAGCCAGAGAGAGAGAGAGAGAGAGAGAGAGAGAGAGAGAGGGAGAGAATAAGCAAATTGGAAGTCAGTCTTATATAACCTAATCTTAGACTCATCCATCACTTTTGCCATATTCTATTTGTTAGAAATCCTTGACTGGGTCCAGCCCATTAGGTCCAGCCCTCAAAGGGAAGGGCTTGTGCAAGAGTCTGAATACTAAGAGGTGGGGGGGGGGGGGGGGGGGGGAGCATCTTGGAAGCTAACTACATTTGTTGACTAGACCTGTAATGGTATAGTTAGAATAAGGGAGGCAGCTATCCTTGGTTTTATTTATAAATTTGTTGTCAAGAAGAAGAAGAGGAAGAAGTAGGAGCAACTGCTGCTGCTTACAGCTGTGATTAAAAGGTTATTCAGGGGTTGCAGGAGCGTATTCAGAAGCCAAGAATTTTCCCATATAGGCAAAAATGGGCTTTAAGCACAATACATCTATGAGAGAGAGAGAGAGAAGAAACAGAGAAATTGAGCATGCACACGAGTGGG